GCTGATGGCAACTTCACCTTTCTAGTTGCTTAGGCCCTGAACTTTGGCATCATCCTTGACCCCTCTCTTCAACTTATATCCCAAATTCAGTCTGCCGGGAAACAATGGCTCTGTCCTGAACCCCAAGCAATCTGACCATTCCCACCGCCTGCTCTGCAGCTGCTCTGTCTTGGTCTGAGCTACTATCATCTCTCACCTAATTACTGGAATAGTCACTCGGCTGATTTTCCTGTTTCTTTTCATCTATTTTCAACAAAAGAGTGGAATGGACCCTTTTAAAACTGTTCAAATTCTCCAGTGGTTCTCTGTTTCTCTCGGAGTAAAATTCTCACAATGGCTGACAAGGCCCAACATGCCCCTCCTGCCATTACATTTTTCACTTCTTCCTTACTGCTCCATCCTCCTGGCATTCAAACTCATATGAGCAAAAATTACTGTCTTTATTGTTTACCAACATATCTCAAGTACCTAAAAGTACCTGGCATGTATATAGCAGGGGCTCAATATGTACCTTCGGATTCAGTGAATGAATCTTGTTTACCTCTTCATTGTTTATTTTTCCATGGTGAGAATGTAAGATACATGAAGGCAGGGTCCTTAACTGATCTTGTTTAACAGCAAATCTAAAGCATTCAAAAGAGTGCTGAGTACACATTAAGTGTTCAACAAGTTCTTATTGAAGAAACAAATACCTTCTATGAAAAGACTAATGTGTATACTTAACACTACACTGAGTTAATGAATGAATACGCTATGCACAGAGATGGCATAGTTTCCATTCATCACTCATAGGCAGCCATCTATGGTGAATGAAGAGTGTTTTACAATAAAGCAAAGTGTGAACTGTTCTAAATAGAACTTTATGGTAAGTGATACGTAAGGTCATGGTTGCCCTAAAGTTACAATCATGTAGTGAACTGGAATACATTCAGTATGTATCACAATTCTTTCTGCAGTTGTCCCGAACTATACAAAGTCTTCACTTAACTTCCTAAGGAAAGAGAAAGCTACCACTTTATTTGCAAAACAGCTTACCCCAGGGGCTTTTATAAGGGAGAAGGTTGTTTACAAAAATGAAAAAAAAAGTCATTTTACTGTGTAAGAGCACTTTCTATTATTGTAGGAGAGATTCACGCTGCCAATGACTTACATTATCTGTTTTGTTTTGTCTATATTGAAGGGGGCATTCATATCTATCTGTTTCTCTGTGCAAATGTAGGGGATCCAAAACTGTTCTCTGTGATTGTTTGGATTGTTAATCTCTCCAGGGTTTCCTCAATATTCTCAAAGGCAGTTTCTGGCACCAAAGGGAAAATGGAGAAGTTGAGATGCAATTTTATCTCCCAATTGAACTTGATTAAATGGAGGCTGTTCTAATCAAAAGTTTGAATCCTGGGGGAGTGCAATGTTGTTAACAGGTTTGAGAATATTTGAGAACAGGGAGGAAGTGTACTAAAGTTGAGGAGGAGAAAGAATCAGGCAAGAAAATAATTGTAGTAAAGCTTATTAAGGCATAAAATTAGGTGAACAAATTGCTTCACAGATAGTATTAAGCTCATTGCTAGACTGGCAACGGAAGTGGAAGAAAGCTCTTTGAAAACATTATTTTTATTATTTTAATAATTTGTGTAGGAATCGTAGTAGCTGCAATCTGTTAGCCAGAAACAATTGCCAGCTGGTGTCATCATGGAGTAACTATAGTAGGCAGAATGCAAATATGTTTTCCCTTTTTACCTGGAGAGTATTCAATTTTAGGAAGTTTCTATTCATTTTTGCCTGAATGTGAGGTCTGTCCTTGTAGATAAGGCAGTCTGCTTATTGGGTGATTTAAGAGCTTTGATTAGGTTCACTCTAAGTTTCACAGATGTACTAGGGAGACCACACCTGAGTCAGACTGTATTTACACGACCAAAGTTGCCTATTATTATAAACTAATAGGTACATTTCTGAATTATATATGTAGTTGCCTTGATTCTATGCATTGTTTTCCTTGTAGTTACCTCATGGAAATGGTGGCACTCCATTATCTATTTTACCAAAAGCAAAAATAGATTTTCTGGGGTAATGTTCCTTAATAGTGTTAAAGGTGCACTTATTTACTTAAATACACATTTGGTTAGCAATATATTTGTTGTATTTATTTGCTATAATGTTTTCTTTTGAAGTTCTTCAGAGTTACTTCTTTTAACAGGGATATAATCATTTTACAATTGTTACTGTCTTTTTCCTGTATCTGGAAGCTCACAGACTAGGTGCCAAAATACCACAGGATATAGAATTGCTCAGCTTCATCTATAAAGCCAGGGGGAGAGGAAAAATAATTTAATTGTCCTCTTGCAATTCTGTTGTCTCTTCCTGCCTCTTGACTCAAAGGGTCTCAAGAGAGCAGAGAGGAAATTATGGGCTCTGTTGTTGATGTTCATTGGATTTCTTCAGTGGTGATCTGAATGTATTTCAGGGATGTTAGTGGTTTCTAATCTTGGCTTTGCTTTCACCTAGCTTTCCTTGCTTCAGTATCCTCATCTCTGAAATGGGATATTATACTTCTCTTATCTCCTTAGAGTGTTGTTCTAAGGAGCGAGTGAGATAATGGCCAGGAAAGCACTTTCCACTGTACAAATTACCACTGGCACTCTGGTTAGCCCTTTGGGTAGTTAACAAGGTTTTATTTATCCATGTGATATGAAGCAACTGTATAGGAAATGAGAAACTTTTCAAATAGGGTAATATAAAATGGTATAATGATGTTTTACTTAACTAAAGTAAATATGTGTGTGTGTCTTGTATATATTGTTAAATAAGCTAACCAGATGCATTCAGAAAATAATTGTTGACTTTTATTGGGGTTTGGTCATATCACAATTTCTTGATCTGGAGTGAAGCCTGATACTATTAATAGGGTTTTAATCTTAAGGGAGAGGAAAAGAAACAGAATCAAACATGCTTTAAAGAACCTGATTCATCTTACCCAGCACCTTTCTTACTAATATAGGCTCCTATGGTATTAGGAAGGCTTTGGGGTTGTTTATAGAGCTGAAAACAGGAAAGGAATTAGAGGAGGGAAGCTTTGTTGCAAAGAATCCCACCTGTCTAATACCAATAAAAATAACTTCCTATGGGGCAAACCTTAGCATCCCTGAAGGGCATCCAGATCTTAACTGATATCTACAGAGGGGACATGCTGATAAGTGTGTGAGACTAGCAGGGTGTTTCAAGAAGAAACAGGTCCTTCATGATTCATAAAGAGGCCAGGTAGACAGGTGAGCTGTAAGAAGGTGTGAAATGCCCAGTGTGGTGGGCTGCAAAGGACAGGGGAGCCAGGAGGGACGCATAGGTCTGTATACGCCCACCTTGCACACGCTGCCACTCTTCACTTGGAAAATAGGCCAAGCAGGTCTAGGGACTGTGGTGGGGCAGTTTCTCTACTGTGACGGGCACCTAGATTCAGTATCTTAAAAACAGAATTTGTTATTAGCAAAGATATCCTTCTGAGGGAAATGCTAAATCTAACTGAAAAATAAAGTCTCTTAAGATGTCTGCTCACAAACGAGGGCTTAACTCAGGAAATACAGATAAACAAGCATATCTCTTATTTTCCACACTGGTGGGAAGGAGTAAGTTTTGAACATGTAGGAGCTTAATGCATATTAGTAGAGTGAATTTTAGGAGGTGACCCCTAAACTTCTTGTATGTTCTAAGCCCTTGTGGGCTAGGCTGGCACTCAAAGAAATGAAAAGTGCGTTGAACATGGAGCCTGATACACGCATGGTAGGCACTTAATGGATAATGGATGAATGGATGTTGGTTGAACAAAGTTGCATAGTTGGACACACCAAGTTTTTAGTTAAGGAAGGGCTGCAGTAAACTTGAGCACCAGTTAGAACGTTTTGGATAGGAATTAAAAGCAGTGTGGAGCCCTGGCACAGAGGAACCGCCATCCGGCGTGGTCTGCTCTAGGTGAGTCTTCCCAGCAGTGCGCAGGTGTTACCCCTGCACATAAGGCCGGCCAGGTTTCTGTCCACTGTCAGACTGAGAGCCTGCCGATTTCGAGGTCTCAGACGAGCTCTAACGACGCTTTCCTCTGGCCTCTTCTCGCTCCACCTTCGCCTTTCTGTCATATGTCTCCTCGCTCTAGGCTGAAGGGATTCCCACCCCCAGCTGCCTCCTCCGAGCCCCGCGGAGCAGCGGACTCCTCCCCTGGAAACTCCTCCGGGGCTGGGGAAGGCTTCGGCGCATGCTCCGTACCTAGGGCAGGTTTTTGCTGCGGGTAGCAGGGCTCCTGTCACACCGGCTGGCGGGTTGTGGCGGTGCCAGCCAGTGTGTGCGAGTACCGGCGTGCCCGCGCCTGGGCGGACAGACCCGGAGCATCAGTGCGACTCGCCAGAGAGGCGGCTCCGCAGAGGCGCCTCGCCCGCTGCTGCTGAGGGGGCCGCTCTGCAAACTTGCGGCGGGCGCCGTCCGCCCTCGCGGCTCCGGAGCGCCGAGACCAGCCCGCACAGGCGCCGGGCGCGGCGCCGCTGGCCGGCCAGGGCGGCGGGTCCGGGCCGCACCTTCGCCCTTGGCCGGCGCCCTGGCGAGCCTCATGCAGCCCCCGCGTTCGCGGCCGCAGCTGTCCGGCTGCCCGGCTGCGCGGGGCAGGTCCAGGACCCGAACCCTGCTCCCCTGTGCCTGAGCGCCCGCGAGCCGGGATGCTGCGGGTCGCCTGAGAGCGCCGCGCCGCGCCGGGCGGGAGCAGGGAGCGGGGAGCGGGCCGGGCCGGGCGCCCCCGGGAGCATAGGGCGCCCACGCCGCAGCCGCAGCCGCCCGCGCCGGCGCCCGCTGTCCCCGCTCGACTCGCAGGCCCCGGCTCCGCCAGCCCCGAGGGCCGCGGGGCCGCCAGCCAGCCGCACGCCTCGGCGTCAGGGGCATGGAGGAGCGGCGGGCTCCGAGCCGCGCCCCGGAGTCCCTGAAACTTGCACGCGGGCGTCGGTCCGCGCCGCTGCCGCCGCCGCTTCGCCTGCCGGCCTGAGAGCGGGACCATGGATGAAAGGTTCAACAAGTGGCTGCTGACGCCGGTGCTCACTCTTCTCTTCGTGGTCATCATGTACCAGTATGTGTCCCCCTCCTGCACCAGCTCCTGCGCCAACTTTGGGGAGCAGCCCCGCGGGGGGGAGGCCGGCCCGCCCGCCGCCCCGGCTCCCGCCCGCCGCGCACAGGCGCCTCCCGAGGAGTGGGAGCGGCGGCCCCAGCTGCCCCCGCCGCCCCGCAGGCCGCCCGAGGGGCCTCGGGGGCCCGCGGCTCTGGAGGACGAGGACGAAGAGCCTGGGGACCCCGAGGAGGAGGAGGAGGAAGAGGAGCCAGACTCCGAGGCCCCCGAGAACAGCTCCCTGCCCCGGTTTGTGCCGCGCTTCAACTTCACCCTGAAGGACCTGACGCGCTTCGTGGATTTCAACATCAAAGGGCGAGACGTGATCGTGTTTCTGCACATCCAGAAGACCGGGGGGACCACATTCGGCCGCCACCTGGTCAAGAACATTCGGCTGGAGCAGCCTTGCAGCTGCAAAGCTGGCCAGAAGAAGTGCACCTGCCATCGGCCGGGCAAGAAGGAGACGTGGCTCTTCTCCCGCTTTTCCACCGGCTGGAGCTGCGGGCTGCACGCCGACTGGACGGAGCTCACCAACTGCGTGCCGGCCATCATGGAGAAGAAGGACTGTCCCCGCAACCACAGCCACACCAGGTACTGTTTCCTGCCCCGTCTCTCTTCCTGCCACCTCCCTGCCCCTCTCCTTCCAGTCCGGACTCTGGGCGACCTGGCGCTCTCGCCCTCTGCGCGTGCCGGTGGTTCTCTCTCATCTTTAGCGGTTTGGTGCAGAGGCTTTGGGAGAGGGACGAGACACCTC